TTTACACTTGAAGCATACATGAAATCCCGTACATATGGTTTGGTTAATCGTTTAAAGTCGCTGTGTGTGGTAAAAACTGATTTTTCCTGAGCTGCCATGCATAATGAGCATCATTCTCTTTACAAGTTATAGTGAGTGAGTGAGTTGGGTTTTACGTCGCTTTTAGCAATATTCCAGCAATATCGCGGAGGAGGACACCAGAAATGGGCTTCACACATTGCTGCACAAACTATTTTAAGAGGCTTACCGATTTCAATTTACGAACTGTATGCATGTGTCGTTTTCTTTAAACTGGTAATAGTATAGTTGTCGAATTAAAGCCTTCGAGCCTAAATACCCTTGCTCACATTAGGGATATTCTAATCATTTCTTGTTATTCTGCCAAAAAGGGTATGAATCAAAATAGTCTCTCATACAATGATGGCATAGTGTACGTGATTCATTAGAAAGGCAGTCATATGCCAGTACAGAATTTGTTGCGATGGACACATTCAAATGTACGTTTGAAACATAGTAGTAGAGATAGGAACGTGATCTAATGTATCGATCTTGGGGCAATTTGAATAATACATCAATTTATGAGACGATTAGTGCCACATGAAGAGAAACGGTCTGTTTTCACTCCGACATGATCCATGTTTGTGAAGAAATCAAGTAGAATGCGACAACGTTTACATATGTATAAATCAGTGTAGTGTTGGCTCTTTCTGAGGTTCATCCCAGAGGTATAAAATAAGGAATATACTGGGTCAAGTGACAATTACGTACCAATAAAAGCACTCGTTGAAGTGTAAATACCCTTGTCCTTAACCATGAATGGTCACCCAATAACACCAAACATGATCACGTCAATAGAGTATAGAGTCCCATTGCTATCACATAGCCTGTTCATCATCGAGGTGTAGGTGTAGCAAAGGTGGCTCTTTACTGCTACAAGAACGCATAATGACCAATCCATGGAAAGAAGATCCAATCGTCTCGAACACAAACATTCTTCTGAGGTGGCAACTCTTTGTGCAACTCATGTACACAACAATAATATCGGTCTGTGACGAATCCTAACACTTGTGCTTTTTATAACTTCTCGCGTTACAAAACGCTAATGTATGCAATCAATAGATAGCTTTATTCATTCGCTACACAAGACCATGTTGTGTGGGATATATCCCTGATCCCGTGATTTCATTGAAATCATTTCAATACAACACCGTCGGGAGGATTTGGCTTTTCATTATTCTGGTCAGGGTAGGAAAGATTGCTACGGGTGTGACAGCTGGAGAACACCATGATCGCCAACTCGTTAACACTTTGGCATGCTGCTTAGACGTTCTGTGATGTGAAAAACTCCTTCATAGAGGTATGATTATTAGAACGGTATACTAATTGTAATGCACAATATGTAAAATAATTTCAAATAATTGTTGGACTGCTTGTATGTTATTTCACGTATGTCATAGAGAATTCTTGAGATTACGTTTGGTATTTCTCTCTACGTTGCCATGACTTACTTCATGGACAAACGGTATTATAGAGGTGTTGAATGTTGTAGGTTTGGGTAGATTAGTACATTGTTTCTGGTAGTCGAGAAAATGTTTGGTGTTTCATTCTGCCTTTCCATGTATTACTTCGTGAACAATTAGTGGCAGGTGTGATTGGCAAGAGGATGGTAGTGGTGGGATGTGTCTGTGTTGAATGCTGTAGGTTTGGATAGATTACTACATTGTTTCTGGTAGTCGAGAAAATGCTTGGTGTTTCATTTTACCTTACCTTGTATTACTCCGTGAACAAATGGTTGCGGGTGTATTTCGGAAAGGACCGGAGGTTGGTAGCGGTGGTGTGTGTGGTTGAGTGCTGTAGGTTTGGGCAGTCGCCTTCGTCGTCTCTGGAACTTGAGACATCATTTGGTATCTAGTTCTTTTACATGAATTACGTTGCAGACAAATGGTGGCGGGAGTTACTTGCAAGGGACGAGGTCAGCTTGTTGACTGCTATGCATTGGGGTAGACACCTACATTACTTCTGGTTCTTGAAGCCACGTTATACAGATCGTGGCTGTTGTCATTGTCGGGAATTAGGTTTTGGTGTCGAGTGTTGAGCAGACTTTAAATTTTTATGTTTTTTTGTGTATCTGAACTAACATTTCTATGTATAATGCGGACTGTGATCCATGTTCAGGCGCCCAGTTTCTGCCCAGGTCAGTACATTCTAATTCAAACGAAGAACGGTAATCAAGAACAATTGAACTGAAATATTTTTGACTTTTATCAAATATGCCAGGATTGACTACGTGTCTGAGCCTTATTTACTTTTAAATGTAAAAAAAGGATAAGTAAGAAGTTCTTTCTAGGGTATAAGTAGCGTTTCCTTCCCTGTTGATAAATGGCTTTCCAGCTATGAATCCAGCTGTGAATGGGTACCCGGTAGGATTAGATGGTACATACGTGCATACGTTACAGAAGTGAAATATAATTCGCGTGCGCACTCATCCTTTGCCAGAGGTAGCCCTATTAACATATACTTGTTGAATCAAACGCCATAATAAATTTACTTCTTATTATAGTTATTATTACAACATACACTAATGCACAAAACGGACTACCAGCATGTGCCAGAAACATTTCATTGACACTGTGTCACTTTCACTAAATACTGATTGTTAGTCAACGACGTAACGATTGGCACTATAGATTCAATACATTTGAGTCACAGCTGCAGGTTATATGGTGAATGGAATTATATAGATTGATTCGATATGAATTTCAAATGGAAATCTTTGAGGCTGATATACTTATGTTATACTCTATAAAGTCCAGTAAAATATCGAGGGTCTGAAAACAAAGAAAAGTAAAAGAAATGTCGAAAATATAATCGAAAGCAAAATCTCAAATTTTCGAAAATTATTTCAAATATTAATCGAATATAATGTTAAACAAATTATTGAAATAACGCGGGGAATGTCGGTTGTAAAACATTATGCTACAAAAGTGTCACCATTTGGCTTTTGTACAGGAGTATGAACAATGTTTGAAACGTTATGAATAGAGATTGTGACTATTTGTTCACCTTTGAGAATGCAACGAGAGCCACAAGGGTAGGGTCTCTTAAGTACTAATGGCACGCAGTGACAAAGAGAACATGCACACAGACGAGTACTGATCAATACTATTGAAATACCTGTTACATTGCGTGCACGTATTTAAATGCCGGAATGATGCGTCATCTGGTGCAATAGTTTCCGGAAAACCTAATGGCATTCTCTGAGATCATTATTACGTCAAATTGTAGTCCAACAATAACAGTGCTCTTAAAATGAACAATCATTTCAAGTCTGCCCTTGTGTTATTGTAAAAATTATCACCATTTATCAGACCCGCGTCTAACCTACACTCTGCTGTAATTGAAAAGCAGTTCCAAAGTCAGGAAAATGACATCGAGATCTATTCAGGCCTAAGAGCGAGTAAGAATTACAGATGATCTATTCCTAGCATGTAATCCTTTACGAGGAACTTTAAACATTCCTTTAGAATGGAGACAATCCGTCATTCCGATATACCGGCACGTCATCATTTTGTTTCTATAAAAAGTCAAGAAATGTAAATGTAAAGGAGGACTTTAAGCATAATATAGGCCGTTTTTGTTCCAAGAGATAGGGATAATTTTGGACACGAGGAAAACTGTTTCAGAATTCAGAAATGTACTCCTGTAAATGAATTTTAGAATTTGATAATTTCGCTGTTGCACTTCATTATGTTCAACAACAATCAATGCACATGTAGGGATAAATGCTTCACAAGTTAGATTGGAAAATGTCGCCGCTCATATTGGCCACACTTATATGTGTTTGAAAAACGTAACATAAACGTAAGAAAGAAAAGGTAATTCACTGTAATTCACTTGGGTGTGTTTAAAGTGTACTTCAAAGTTTTCAATCATCTTTAGTCAACTGTTAAGAGAAGCATTTGGAGCTTGGCACGTAACCTCCTAACAACTCAGTAATACTTGGGACATAATCTTACAAAAGCCCAACCCTCTAACCTAACCTCGTGAAGCTTCGGTTTAAAACTGGTTTTCAGGAACCCTTGCTTGTCGTAAGATTCGACTACCAGGGTCTCGTGGTCAGACTCACCGACCTGGTAGACACATTTCATAATATGACAATATGACGTACTCCTTAGTCATCAAGTCAGTTAGTGCATTATCTAGTTAAAACTGTATTTTTGAAAGACCGCCATAATAAAGTGAGAACATTGCCGTGTGAAGAGTTAAAGAGCTTAAAACAACAACACACTTCAAAGGTGATTGCTGTAGGAACCCACAATGTTGATCATATTACAAAAGGCATGACAAGCCTTAATGTCTGCCTTACGAGGTTCGATGATCTCACACGTCGTCATATGAGCGAAATATTCTCAAGCACGACGTTAAACCCAATTTCACCTCACCTCACCTCGATGATCTCGCTGCTAACAAATTGTTTGTCTGTCCTTGATTTGCTTATTTACAAACTCTAATGTACCTATAATGTTGTTGACTGGGGCGTAAATGCACCGTTTCCAAGGACAATGAAAGAATTTATGGATCATGTCCGTGTGAGTACATACGTATACCCACATACACCCTCTGAGTAAACGGGAATTTGTATACAATACCCTTTTCTTTACCCGTGTTATAGGTTCTGTCATATAATTCTTTTAATTCCCTCTCGGTACAGCCTTGACTGGGACTATTCTATACGCGATATCGAGGGTGTCATCGTTTTGAATTAGATTCATGATAGCTTCAGCGTTAATGAAATATTTAAAAAGTCAACTGGGGGGTATGTCCTCATCAAACAGCCATTAAAACACACTTGTCGAACTCTCCAGAAACAGATGTTAATGAGAAATGTCGTTTATACAAGGCAGCGAGAAAATAGTGTTGATCAATGACCCATAATAGGCGTGCAGAGGCGGTATATTCAATTACAGTGGTACTCTCTTTTCAGAGGACAATGGCCGAGTGATATGGAAAACGTCCAACTCGATATAACGATACGATAGCTATCTACAATGCTTGCAAGTTCAACACTAGCATCAAGTCCCGACCAGTATGGCTACAGATACTGGTGCAGCTTCTGCAGCAAGTCCTTTGCCAAAGGGAAGAGGTTCAACGCTCACCACGGTGTTCTCAATGGAAATGGGCCAAAATATGGCCTCTTTTGTACCGTGAAGATCTTTCGCTACAAGAGAGGATCGGAGCGACTGTGTGACGTTGAAATACAGAAGTCACTGAAGGTTCAGGAACTGTGCCGAAGCTTTCGCATTGAAAACAGCATGAAGAAGATACAATTTGTATGTCTTGTAAAAGCTCATATGGACGAAATATGGACGCCGTTTTTCTCGTGTTCCTCTTCGTGGAGCAGACCGTTGTTCAGAGACGAGTGGGTTCTCATTGAAGACTTCCTGAAGAACTTTCAATGGTTCGTTGGTTCAGATGGGTCTTCTCCTAAACTATCTAGAACAAGACAAACATTGAACGCTTTCGTCCACTATTCTTTCCACTGCACTTCAGGATCTCTTGTGGTCTGTGGACTACAGGGAAGTGTGACAGAAGGCTGTTACATGCTTAAGACCCCAACCATCCATTCCGTGAACGAATCGTACGGAGATACCGACAAGGGCATAGCCGGGATAGAAGAGGTGTTTCAGCACCACAAGTGTAATTCTATATGTAAACATTTTATTGTCCCTGCTGCTGTTGCCCGAGACTATGGATTAGATAGGGCGAATGATGAAGATTCTTGTGAGGAATTCACGAGTGAAGGTGCTTCAGAAGAATGTTTACTTGGGTTTGATTCATCCCGCGAATCGCTCCTCTCTTCGAGAAGGCCAATCTCAGCAGCGCCTCCTCCTTACATGGAAATTTGCAACAACTGAGGAATAAATGTGACTGATAAATAAGGGTTTGTTCATTAGGACATGTTGAAAGTTCTGTGGATTAAAATTATGCCTTTGCTGTAAAATAGAGGTTTTATTTCAAGCTGTTGGCATCCCTTAAGATATATAATACCGCATAATACCTGCGACAACGACGGCGACGACAGCAACAACGAGACAATAGCGATCTGGTCCGTGCATTGAATGCTGCACTTTCGGATAGTAAAGTACGAATATATATATATTGGAAAAGGGCACTCATAGCCAAATGCTTTGCTGTAATCGTCATGTATTTCCGTTTAAAGGCTTCCACGCAGATATAACACCCTTTAATACAATAGCAATGGAACTGTGCATATATTTCAATATAGCAGTCAAGCAATAACGAAAAGAGTTTTTAAAAACAGAAATTCATCCTTCCGCCCGTGCCGCCGTCTGAGATTGGAAATGATGAACACAAATTGATGAGAAAGGAAGAAAGAAGCAGGAGCTTGTGACACCAGGTGTCAAAGGCATGTAGCAGGAAAGTATTAAACAATCAACAGTGTCAGGCATGTCCTGACGGGGTTGATGGATACTATTCATAAGATGTCTAACCCTCTGACTAGATATTGTATGTGATTAAAATATTCTTAAGAAGCCGTCTTTCTTTTCCTGGGTCTAATATGCTAGAAAGAAAACTACTGGCCATTTTTACTCTGGAGTGTAATGACCCAAACAAACACTTATTGGAAACAAAGTAACGCTTGTTAGTTACATATACAATCTCTGAACAATTATAGTTCGGAATTCAGGGGTCCCGCAGTATCGAGGTGTAACTGTACACTCATTTCAGTAAGCCAACTAAGGTTTTAGGCCGCTTTTAGCAATATACCAGCAATAGCACGGCAAGGGACACCAGAAATGGACTTTACACATTGTACCCATGTGGGGAATTGAACCTGGTTCTTTAGCGTGACGAGCGTACGCTTTAACCATTAGGCTACCCCACCGCCCCAGACATAAAAGATGATCAACAATATTTCATTTGTATGGTGACGTCACCTATTATCTGCCCCTGATCAAAGAGGATGTTCCTCGCTTCATACGGACATCTCCCATCACACATGTAAACAAGTCCCGTCACGGATCTTGTGTGGGGTTGTCATCGAGGAACCCTTTCAACCACGTGTCTCCGTCAAGTAGTGGTGTCAAGTATATAGGTCCATACTTGTTACAAGCGCTGTGAAGTCTAGGCCGAGTACGATGTGAAAGGAAGTCTACAGCCGTTGCCTCAGCTCACAACTGCGTGGCCCTTCATTATCGTGACTTCCCATGCATCCGTTAGCCTGGTCCAGAGACAAAAACGGAAAGTCATCAAATACGCCCATCCGAGACCCAGTTACATATAATATCTATACGTGCTGTCAAATGTAGATAAGTGTCCTTGTCCCAGATGATGTTGTCCAACATAGCAGTATTTTGTATGGTATAATGATGATGATTATGATGATGATGATCTGGGGCTCCTTTCACGAAGCAACCTTTACTAAGGTTAACCTTAACACCCATTCTTTAACATTGCACTAAGGTGCGTAAGTCACTAAGGTAACCTTAGTGCAATGTTAAAGAATGGGAGTTAAGGTTAACCTTAGTAAAGGTTGCTTCGTGAAAGGAGCCCTTGATCTCAATGGCTGTAGTGGTCTCTACAACAACTACTACACTACTACTACTACTACTACTACTACTACTACTACTACTACTACTACTACTACTACTACTACTACTACTACTACTACTACTACTACTACTACTACTACTACTATTACTACTACTACTATTGCTACTACTACTACTACTACTACTACTACTACTACTACTACTACTACTACTACTACTACTACTATTACTACTACTACTACTACTACTACTACTACTACTACTACTACTACTACTACTACTACTACTACTACTACTACTACTACTACTGATGCTGTATTGCTACCACTACTTCTACTACTGTATCATCTACTACTACTACTACTACTACTCCCACTTCTAATGTTACGACTGCACATTTGCATATCCTCCTACCGGGCACCCATTCGCTGTGAACGGACGCAAATTGAAAAACATAATAACTTGTCAACACATATTACGTCAACTGTATGGCAGGCAAGTCCAAAGACAAGCTTTGAGAGCTCGGAATACCACAGATCTGTGGTTCGATCCCCTGGTCGCATCATATCAAAATACGCTAAAAGATGGTACTTGGTGTTATCCTGCCTGGGGTTCGGCAGCAAAGGAACAAAACAACAACTGAACGTCTCGGAGTCAGTCTGAATGAAGTGTCCAGGTTACACTGCTTCATGGTAAAACATCGTACCGGCATAAGTCCGAACCCGGAAGTGCAACCGTGCAGATCCGGGTTAGAATTGGTCTTCACAACCCATGCTTGTCGTAAGAGGCGACTAACGGGATCGGGTGGTCAGGCTCGCTGACTTGGTTGACACATGTCATCATCTTCCATTTGCGTAGACCGATGCTCATGCTGTTGACCACTGAATGTTCTGGTCCAGACTCGATTATTTACAGACCACTGCCATATAGTTAGAATATTGCTGAGTGCGGCGTTAAACAACAAACCAACCAAGCAACCAACAGGGACGAGCATATCGCTGGGTAACTTTCGTAATCTGGAATCTTAAAACCCCATTACACCTACTTGACCTTACCTGATTTGCACACAGCGCTCTGCACAGGACCTAGTGCTACCAGACACAGTACAGATGATAGCCCTTCCGAGCACGTAATGATTACATACTCTTGGTGAGCAAGTGACACAGGTTCGGCACTGGGCCAAACTGTACTTCAGTTCCAGCTTCACGCTTGAGGACAGTGATCTTGGTCTTAGACGCTTATTACTCTGATGGGAACCCAACATCCAAAATAACTGAGACCAGAACAAGCTCTAAACTAAAGTTTTTAAAATGTGCGTGCGTGCGCACGTACATACTACACACTACCGTGTATATAACACGTATATTATATAATATAATATACAATATATATTTATACACATGCAGGAATCTCTTGTATCTATCTATATATACCTCTGTCTATACCTATCTATCTATCTCTCAATCTATCCATCAATCTATCTATCTCTCTATCTATCTAGACCGCCTCCGTGGTGTAGTGGTTAGAGCGTCCGCCCGGAGAGCGGAAGGTCGCGGGTTCCATCCCCGACCGCGTCATACCAAAAGACTGACTGAGTTTGGTTCTACGCCGCTTTTAGCAATATTCCAGCAACATCACGGCGGGGGACACCAGAAATGGGCATCACACATTGTACCCATGTGGGGATTCGAACCCTGGTCTTCGGCGTGATTTTTATGGAGAAGCATGAACACTGTGAATGACCCCGCCCCTAAAATGTATGTACAAAATAAGTGACCCCCTGCATGTCATGTGCAAAATTCCCATAATTTCTAAGCATAATTTTAAACATTATTATATATACAAAATTGCTGAACCCCCTCTCTCTCCACCCCACCCCCCAGGACGTGTGTACAAACTTGGACTTGATGGCCCCCTCCCAAGTTCCCCAGAACAAAATGGATACCCCCCCACACCTTAAAATCATCACACACACACACACACACACCAGCCATAAATTATGAAAGGTCCCTAAAAAGAAAGTTAAAACATATATTTATACCACCAATGTGGCACCAGTAGCCCATCGTAGATTCGAACTCACGTCGGAATAAAGTCTGCACAGCAAACTCATGCGACTGAGATTTAAAGACAACAATTTGTACCGCGAAACGCAATTGGTAGTAAAGGTATGCCGACATCCTGTGCCAAATTAATACGAGATCGGCGTCAATGACGCTATGATAGTACGAGCGTGGTTTACAACAGCAATTGGCCATATATTATTTCCCAGATCTCCTTGTCGGTACAGTCTCTGTTTGCGGTGTATGGTATCACAGCCGTATCTACTTAACCACACCATCGCAGTTTCATTGTTGGGGGCGAGGGGAGTGACGATGGTGTTTATAACCGCCCGGCATGCGTCCTGCGTCTCTGACCCTGTCTGACCCGGTCAATGAGGACGCTGGGCGAGGTAATGATTTGTCGTACACATATATCATTTAGTCACGTATGGAATATAATAAATTTGTAAGACTGCTAACATTTGACTTTCAAAGTGGGTACCGTGATTATAATCAGCTGTGACGACTGGAAATTTGTCGGTCATGCATCATAATCGTTAACTCGTACTCATCGTCACAATAAACAATGTTCCACTGTTGTGAACAAAATGTATTATTCATTTACATGAGCAAAGGGTGTATCTGAGGGAGGTGTTCAAACGTTTGATGTCACGCACGCACTTACGTACGCACGCACGCAAACACGCACGTACTGTTACAGTGTTGGCCTGCTCCAAAGTGAGCGAGTGAGTTTAGTTTTATGCCGCTTTTAATAATATTACAGCAATATTACGGCGTGGGACACCAGCAAGGGGTTTCACATATATTGGGAATCGAACCTGGGCCTTCGGCGAGACGAGCGAAAGCTTTAACCACTAGGCTACCCCCTGCCTGCTCCAAAGGAATCACAGGAAGGAACGATCACGGAAATATCAGTGAGTGGATGAGTGAGTGAGTGAGTGAGTGAGTGAGTGAGTTTTCGGCAGTTATAATGCAGAGGTCAGATGTTTGTCAACCTTTAAAGTATTGCAAAATCTAGAAAGCGTAATTTCAACCCGCGATCCTAGGGATCCGGCATGCCTAATGGACACAACTCTCCATTGCTAATAAACGCTCTCAACACACCTATTAGAGTTACACCAAAACGAAGACATCACTGAAGATTTTAAAACTGCTAAGACCTGTCTTGAAATAATTTCCACTGTGTTAGTGGTCAATATCAGAATACAATAATTACAAATGGAGCTGTTATTTATTGCCTCCAAGCTCAATAAAACAGAAGGTTGTTGGATTGGGTTTGGCAAGACCCAATTTCCTAAACGAAATAATATATAACATTTATATCACTAAAGGCCCCTTAATGTTCTCAAGCACATATGGGGCGGTGGGGTAGCCTAGTGGTTAAAGCGTTCGCTCGTCATACTGAAGACACGGGTTCGATTCCCCACATGGGTACAATGTGTGACGCCCATTTCTGGTGTCCCCCGCCGTGATATTGCTGGAATATTGCTAAAAGTGGCGTAAAACTACACTCACTCACTCACTCAAGCACATAATCATCAAGAGACATTTAGGACAAACACGATGATATACATGTCACCATCTAATGCTAACATCGCATGTTATATTTTGGGGCGGAACACTAAGGTCAGACGTACATGTAATTGAGTTATACATTGTCTGATTAACATTAAAGCTACCTGTTTATAGCATTAATGCTACACTTTACAGAGTTAACACTAATGTCAAACGTAGCGGGCTTAAGAATAACGTTACATGCTATACACATAACGCTAATGTTATGTAACAAGACGGCACATGTTGTGGAGTTAACATTAATGTCAAACGTAACGGGCTTAAGAATAACGTTACATGCTATACACTTAACGCTCATGTCATGTAACAAGAACGGCACATGTTATGGAGTTAACATTAATGTC